ATTAAGTACAAGTTATTTGTGCATGTGTGAGAGCCACATAAGAAGGCAAAGAATGAGCATTAGCCACTAATTCACTAGCAATATTTATGTTCCCAGTTACATTTCCAATGAGCCTTAAAGGAAAGGTGCCTTTAAATTGGAGGGTTCAAACTCTGAACTTTTGGTTAGCAATGAGACAATGTACTTTGTGTGTCACCAGAGCCTCTACTTTCATCACCAGCCAATGTCAAGTCCTTGTATACTCATTAAAAGTATGTGACCAACTCTCAGGGGACACGAGAACCCTAGGTCTACATGAGTGCAATCTAACCTCAAAATCGACAAAGCTCATTTTTAAAGATGAAGCCTCAATATCACTTTTAGCTCCATCCTGACAGCTCCTTGTATTACAGTAGGATTTTCTTTTGCCATTTCCATGACATGTGTTGTTGTTTTTGTTGTGTGCTACGTAAATGTTCAGATTATCAGTATTGTTGTTGTTGTTGTTGTTGTTGTTGTTATGTGCCGTCGAGTCGTTTCCGACTCGTAGCGACCCTATGCACAACAGCCCTAAACCCTGCTCTATCCTGCGCCAACCGCACGGCCTCTGACACACCCATCCCGATTACCCCAGTCACCGAATCAATCCATCTCATAGAGGGTCTTCCCCTCCTGCGCTGTCCCTCCACCCTCCCAAGCATGATGTCCCTCTCCAAGGACCCGTCCCTCCTGGCAACATGTCCAAAGTATGTCAGACGAAGCCCCAGAACCCTTGCCTCCAAGGAGTAGCTTGGTTTAATCCTCTCCAAGATGAATCTGTTTGTTTTCCTGGCAGTCCATGGTACATTCAGTACCCTTCTCCAGCACCACAGCTCAAAATCAGTATAGACACAGTGAAATAAAATAAGCCTCCTTCACACAAGTTCAAAATTGAGTAGATGAGCCAAAAACTGAGTTCTGAGAAAAAGAAACAGATTGTCTAATGCCATAACACATAGTGGACATTATCTTAAAATTAATGCCATCTGACTAATGTCTTCTTAATAACAAAGCTATACCTTATTCTGGGGAGGGGTTTTTCCCCCCCCTTAAGAAGTAACCTGAAGTTTAAATTTACATTACCATTACAGACTTTCCTTTATAAGTTGAAGCACATTATTTTGGTCCATTGAGCAAACTCATTCTTATTCATTGCCTTTTAAAGTTGACATTTAACTTCCACAGCTGTACGGTTGGCAAGAAGCAAAAGAATATTTAATATTCATGGCAGCAGGTTCTGAAACACCGCACTGTTCTATTGTATAGGCTGTCCTATAATTAGTGTACATTAACTGAAAGAAAGAGCTACATATGAAATTAGTAAAGGGCGGCTGAAGGTGCACATGTATTTATTTCCTGCTAATACTCATGAGTCGAACAAAACAAACAAGTAATTCTAGCTATTCAAACTAATAAAGGCTGATTTTCCAAGGGGCTATGTCTTCTGGTGCACTTTCCAGAAAAGAATTGAAAACAACTTTTTGTTCTACAGGCCTTGAATCCCTAATCAAATAAGATAGGCATTAGCCATGTCCCTTGTCCATTATAATTCGCACTTCAATACCAGAAAGAATTGATTGATTTATTCAAGGAATAATTACTGTATGTCCTCTGTAGGCTTGACACTCTTGTTGGGCACTGGGGACGGTCCTATCCTTCAGAGCAATGGATTTAGCAAAGAAGACAAACAAGAATGCAAGTAATTACAAAAGGGAAAGTATTAGGATAAAAGAAATGCTACAGACTCGCACAATGGGTTTAACAAAGTCATGGCTTAAGCAAGGCCTTCTGGAAGAGGGGGCATTTATGTGTTATGACTTCAGGGTTGTTATGATTGGGTCTAGGCCACAGAGATCAACGGAACAGAATCAAGAGCCCAGAAATTAGCACATCTACCTATGGTCAACTGGTGTTCAACAAGGAAACAAAACCAGTCAAATGGGGTAACCTCTTAAAAAAATGGTGTTGAAAAAACTGGACTTATACCTCCAGAAAGCTGAAGCAGGATTCACATCTCACGCCCTATACAAAAATCAACTCAAGGTGGATCAGAGACCTACGGGTAAAATTCAAAACCATAAAGGTTTTAAGAGACAAAATGGGACCAAACTTAGAAGGCTAAGCCTATAGTATAAATAGACTGGCTTTATGGTATAAATAGACTGGCAAACAGCCAGAAATGAACAATCAGTAGAGGATAATATTAATGAATGGGATGTTCTAAAGATTAAGTGTACATCAAAAACTTTTTCCAATAGGGCAAAAAGGAAACCTACTAACTGAGAAAAAAACATTTAGCAAGGCCATCTCAGACAAGGGTCTTACAACAAAAGTTTACAGAATCCTATAGAGCCTCTACCAGAAAAAGACTGATAGCCCAATAACAAAATGGGCAAAAGACATGGAAAAACTTTTCACAGAGGAAGACATTCAGATGGCCAACAGATACATGGAAAAAGGCTCAAAATCACTGGCAATAAGAGAGACCATCACACTAAACTAGCAGTGGCAAAGTTTAACAGGACAGCAAGCAATAAGTGTCAGAGAAGATGTGGAGAGATTGGAAGTCTCATTGTTGGTGGGGTTGTTAAAATGGTACAACCATTCTCAAAGACAGTGTGGCATTTCCTCAAAAAGCTGACATGGAAATTCCATCTGACCCACCTATTCCACTGCTTCAGGCCATGAGATTCAAAATTACTTGCTATGAATCAGAGAGCTGGACTATAACCAAAGATGACAGAAGAAGAATTGATGCCTTTCAATTGTAGTGTCGGAGAAGTGTATTGAGCACACATACCATGGATTGCCAAGAGAACAGGTTTATCCTCGAGAGGGTGAAACCAGGCTGCTCCTTGGAGGCAAGGATTTTGAAGCTCCATCTCACATATGTTGGGCATGTGGCCAGGAGAGACCAATCAGTCCCTGGAGAAGGACATAGTATTTGGAAGGGTGGATAGGATAGCGTTCAGATCTGTTGTTCATAGGGTTGCTATGGGTTGTACTCAGCTTGATGGCATCTAACAACAACAAAATCCATGACACCTAAAAACAACAGGGTACCATCTTAGAATTTTGCTATGCTTCTAAGTGCTGCCCGTATTTCTACATCCTCTCCAAAATGCTAAAGAGCAATGATGTCAATTTAAAGACTAAAGTGCACCTCATCCAAGCCATTATCTTTTCAATTACTTATTATGCGTCTGAAAGTTGGACAATGGATAAAGATGGCAGAAGAAGAATCTGTGCTTTTGAGTTGTGGTGCTGGATAACAGAATGTTACATAGACTGCCAAAGAACAAACAAATATATCTTGGAGAAAGTGCAACCAGAGTGCTCCTTAGAGGCAAGGATGGTGAAACTTCATCTCATACACTTTGGGCACGCTGTTAGGAGGGGCCAGTACTTGGAAAAAGACTTAATGCCTGAAAAGGTGGAGAATCGCTTTCTGGACCTGGCTGAGCAGGAGGCCCCATCATGGGAGTTGACAACCGCCACAACAAGGACTGAAAGATCTGCCGCAAGGAGCCCAAGGGCCAGGACATCTACCTCCGGCTGTTGGTCAAGCTCTACATGTCCCTGGCCAGACGAACCAACTCCACCTTCAATCAGGTTGTGCTGAAGAGGCTGTTCAAGCCGCACCAACCAGTCACGCGTGTCCCTTTCTCGGATGATCCGGAAGACGAAGCTTCCTGGCTGAGAAAACAAGACAGCTGTGGTGGTTGGGACCATTAACAGATGACGTGCGGGTTCAAGAGGGGCCCAAGGTGAAGGTGTGCGCTCTGCGTGTGAGCAGCCGGCCAGGAGCCCCATCCTCAAGGCTGGGGCCTCACCTTCGGCCACCTGGCCCTAGACTCGCCCCAGGGCTGCGGCACCGTGCTGCTGTCAGGGCTGCCCGAGGGCCGAGAGGTGTACAGGCATTTCTGCAAAGAAGAAGCGCACCCGCACAGCTACACCAAACCCTACGCCCGCTCCAAGGGCCGGAAGTTCGAGCACGCCCGAGGCCAAGAGCCACCCATGGCTACATGAACTAACCCCAGATTCTGCCCTGTTATTAAAATCATACGGGAAGGGGGAGAAGGAAAAGAAAGGGAAAGGTGAAAAATCAGTGAAAGAGAGGAAGACCCTCAACAAGATCAGTTAGCAAAGTAATTATAGCAATGGGCTCAAGTATATCAGAGATGCTGAGAATGGCACAGGATAGGGTAAGGTTCAGATCCGTTGGTCAGAGGGTCACGAATCATAGTCAACTGAATGGCACCTAACAACAGTAATATTTTCACATTACTTCTCTATACACCACTACAGAAATTATGACACTTTCTTTATGAAAGAAATTACTAAAGTATTTAGAATGATAAGAGGAATAAAAAACTTTTTTGGTAATATCAAGTCATGTTACCCCCAAAATAAACTTCTTTCTTCCTTCATTAGTAAAAATACTCTTAGTTCTACTATTATTATTGTTATTATTATTAATGTCATGCATAATTACTCATAGAAAGAAAGTTTCATTAGAGAATTCCGTAAGATGTTACATAAAGGGCAGCAGCAGTTTCTGTTCTGAGATTATATATATATAAACTTGCTGGGGTACTTTTATCTTGGGTGCTTTATCATTATACATTTTACAGATGAAGACACTGAGGCACACAGAAATGAGTCAAATGTGAAAATGGTTACCCATGGTGGACAGTGTTTGGTGGAGCTCCCCGATTAAAACAAGCTTGGAAGCAGGAGTGGCATCCACTTCCGTAAATAGCTTGCCTCTGGAAACCCTATGAACTTGGTGAAAGGACGAAAGTTATACAGGTGTCCAGGACTTTAATTCATAGGGTCGCGGTGAGTTGTCTATGACTCAACAGCACTTAACAACAACAACTTGGCACACACACATCCACATACTAACTCCTATTTTTAAAAAATACAATTATTAATTAAGAAACATTTTGTACAATCTGCAGCAACTGAAAAGTACTAACATTTTGTGGTCTTCTGGTGAGTGTCTGGTAAAGATGGCTCCAAAACCCGTGACAGGGCATCCAGTATCCCTGAAAACAAGATAACAAGTTTTAGAAAGCATGTCAGATTGACACCAACTTCCAAAGCCACACAAAACTTATTTGAGGCTGAGTTTTTATGACAGTTATATCTTAAAGGGACTTCCTGTTTAGAACTTTTATGCATCTTGTAAAATAGAATTTGCCAAGAAGTAAATGAAAATCCTCATGTTCTGTCATTACATTGCCTGCATTTTCCAATGGTTACAAGATAAGACAATGTCGACAGCATCACTTCTATAGAAAATCACTGTGCCAGGCAGGATACAGAAACACAGAAATGACTGGGAAACCATTTCTACCCTCCAGGGTTTCCGATCTCTAGGGAAACATGCAGGCATTTAAAGAACTAGAAAATCAGTTCAACTGTTACAAAGGACAGGAATAAAATCCTCTGCATGAACATAAATCAGGGAAGCTTAAGATGAAAGAGCTTGATATGTGCCTGTAATGTAGCTTGGCCACTGTCCTCCTTTGCTGCTTATATAAATCCAATCATCTGTGTGCATGCTCTGTAAGCAAAGGGAAGAATTAAGAATACCTTTCAATAATCCCAGAGCTTAAAGTATCCTCATTCAGTAAGGCCTTGCTCTTTACTCCAGCCAATTTTGTGCTTAAATAAATTTGAGCCATCTGTTCTTGTGTTTCTGATATCCAAATCTGGAAAAAATAAAAGCCACACACAGGAAAAATAAATTAATGCTGGTTACTATAATCTATTTCTGTTGGATTGCACTCTCATTTTTACTTCTTGACTCCAACTGGCATTAAAAAGTAAGCAATATCATATTGCATAACAATCCACTGTTTCATCATAAACATGTAAAAATGGCAATTCTTTACCATGCATGATTGAGAAAATAAAAACCAAATTCTGCATTCTACCACTATCTCTGCCTGTTTTCTATTTATTTATCTTTCTGAGGGCTGGGGTTCTTTAACGTCCCCAAGTAAGAAAGTGTTTGTGCCAAACACTTTGCAAGTCACAAAGGACTTCAGATCTCACCTTCCAATCATCATTGTCACCACTGTGATGATAATTATTATTATCCATCCTCTACCATAGTGGATATGTCAGTGAATTATCAAACAGTTATTACTAAAAGGACATCTATAAATGGTAAGATGTATTCAAAACAATCAGAAGTTCCACAGGTGGCATCTCTAGGGGATCTTCGGAACAAAAATGGATGATGAAGATTCAACATTGTTTCCATAAGAAACTCTAGGAAACCCCAGTGTGAAAGAACACAGTAAGGAGAACTGGCCACTACCAAGAGAAGTCATCACTGCTTTCCTCAAACCTGAAGTTTCCTGAGGCATCTAGTGATGCATCAGAACACACTCACTCCGTTCAAGTTTGTTTTTACAGAGAGAGAGAGAGAGAGAGAGAGAGATCATTCTTAAGGTCTTAGAGCCATCACCAGGAGAAACAGTATGTTGTTGTTGTTGCTATTGTTAGATGCCAAAGAATCAGTTATGACTCACATCAACCCTATTACAACAGCAAAATCAGGGGCCTGCACCAGCCTCAGAATCATGGTTCTGTTTGAGCCCACTGTTAAAGCCATTATGTCAATTTCTTCTTTGATGAACTTTTACTTTACCAATCATGATGTCCCTCTCCGAGGGCTAGGGCCTCTTGAAAACATATCTGAAGTATGTGAGAGAAAGTTGTCTTTCTCACGTCTAAGAGCCTTGTGGTCATCATAGTCAAATACGTTTGGGCTTTTTTTGACCAATAATTAGACTCTTATTCAAAGCATTTTTTTACTCCAGGCTGTTCCTGGCTTCCTGGCCGTCTCCATGGCTCTCCAGGACGTGGGTTTCCCCCTTAACTACTAAGAGCCAGTCTCCTGAACCATAAGCCTCAGCCCAGTTTCCAAGTGCTGACCAGTGTGCTCTTGCTCAGCTGTTCTTAGATTCTCAGCTTCGCATGTTAGTGGCAGAAGTCACTGTTTTAGACATCATACTCTATTTTTTTTAACAAAAAATAAGGCATAGTTTTAAAAATATTATTATTGTCCCAGCAACAATAGCAAAGTTCAACAGGGCAGCAAACAACAAATGCTGGTGAGGTTGTGGAGAGATTGGAACTCTTAGTCACTGCTGGTGGGAATGTAAAATGGAACAACCACTAAGAAAAGCAGTCCGGCACTTTCTCAAAAAGATGGAAATAGAGCCAGCAGGAAGCACTCTGCACGCAGCCTGAGCGAACTCTTCTGGCCATTTTGAACATGATCTTCAGTAGGATTTTGCTTGCAGAGGAAGATGAAAGATGACTGACTACAAGCATTGCATGGAGATCTTCACCTCACGGCCTACCTTCAGACAGCCTTGGTTTGATTCTTTGTTCTACTTACTGCCTTTATTACCTTTACAATACTTTTTAATAATTCCCACTTAGAGTTATAATCAGACCTCTTGGCAGAGAGGAAAGGGGCAATTATGGTGGCGCTAGAACCAGAATGGCTGTCCCCAGCCACGGTACCCAAAAGAGCACACGGTCCAGATCTCAGAAGAGCTTTGGGAGGTGAGAGCCACTTGGCCCCTGGGGAGAGTGATCTGGCCCCTGGGAAGAGCTGCTCAGCCCCTGGGGAGAGCCACCTGATGTCTATGAGGAACTTTATCTAAGCCACCTTCTTCCATCTCCTCCTTCAGTACACCTGTAAGAAATGCCTCCAAAGTCCTTTTCTTTGTAACTCACAAGTTTATTCTCTCTAGATTTGCTCCCTTTCCTATAGATAACCTAAGCACTGAGTCTTGTTCCAGAACCTGAACCCTGAGCCAAGTTCCAGAGACAAAAAGAAAATATAACTGCCAGCTAAGGAGGTGAAGGTGGGTGAAGCCTCAAAGTTCAACTAGCCATTCCCACTAGACTCACCCACACAAACACCTTGCAGTCTAGAGGGCAGAAAAAGTCATGAAAATATCTTTTAATTGAACAAGAAGGCATGCAGCTTCAACTCAAGACCACCAGTAAAGTCTTAAAGTGGGCTCCCTTTCCCCTTCATCTCAACACCCCTACTCAGCATGAAGCAGCCAGAGACTCTGCACCCCTATTCCCAATAAGAAACCCATAAATAAAAAAGACAATTTCTTTATAAAAAAAAAAGGTTATAAAGCACAATGAGAGGAGGTTGACCACCATGTTCTTGAGGAAGCCTCTGGGTTAACCATGCAAATCACTACACCACTACAGATCCTTGGAACTTAAATGTGTCGAGATCTTATTTTGTGTTAGAAAGTTAAACACTCTATATGCCTTACTTTATCAAATACTCAAAAAACAATCTCATGTGTGTTATATATCACACTTGTTCTCAGAAAAGTGCAGCCTATGGTGGAACTGAGAAGAGGCTAAAGAAGGCTTTATATATATAAAAGTGGGATAGCACTTTTCAGGAAAGCAACAAATTAGAGCCCAGTAAATGATGGAGCCAAAGTTAAACTGAAGCCAGGTGACACCAGAGTCCACTCTTAATCTCTACGTTGTCACCTCTATGGGAGCAAATGCTGTCCTCCAATATTAATCTCCCTTCTTCCTCAGTAATTGAGCTTGCAAATTTAATTGGGTGCATGGTCTTATAGAACACATTTTCCGGTCTTCTTTATCGTCAAATCATCAGTGACTGGTTCTGAGAAACTGGACTATAAAGATAAATAATTTCTTCAACTTCCAGGGAAAGTCTCTCTTCTGTTTTTCTCTTCTTGTTATCTGGAATGAGGACATAACATCTAGCTTGAAGCATTCATGATAGAGAAAGACTCTACCAAAAAATGATGGTGCAGAAATCCAGAAGGAATGAGCTTGATGGATTTATAGAGCATCCATGCCATTTCTGATCTGCTTTCCTCCAGGATTTTTAAGTGAGAAAAATGCAGCCTTCTGTGAGCAACTATTGTTGATTTGTTACTTCTATTGAACGTAGGCAAGCCTAATCCTACACCATCCTCAATGTAAAAAATGACTTTGGTGTAAAAATGTTCATAACCTGACATAAGGATGAGAAATTCACAAAAGTATTTCCATATGTTAAAGTCTTTGGGGGTTCACATATATATCACAAACTAAAGAATGGCAATTTGGTTTGTAAGATAGCTAAATTAACACATTACAAACTCACAGGATGATTATCTTAAAATTTCCATTTAATTTACATAATAAAATCCAGCTTAAGTCAAATGGTAGCATAAAAACTATCTCATGTGCACAGGAAGTTTACTTCATAATCTCAAATGCTTATTACCCATTGCCTAAAGTATTAATTCTTTTAAGTTTCAATTTCTAATCTTCTTGAATAAACTCCCCACATTTGTGATACAGTTAAGAAATTCAGTAGTTGTATAACCTGGATATCCAGTACATGGAACGAGCCAATAATTCAAATTCTACATTTGAGAGTTGTTGTTGTTGTTGTTGTTGTTGTTGTTAGGTGCCATCGAGTCACCTGCAACTTATAGTGACCCTATCCACAATAGCCCTAGACCCTGCTCTATCCCTTGTCAATCGTAATGTCTCTGACACACCTACCCCCATTAACCCAGTCACTGAATCAATCCATTTCATCAAAGTCTTCCTCTCCTGTGCCATCCTTCCACCCTCCCAAGCATGGTGTCCCTATCCAAGGACTGGTCCCTCCTTGTAATATGCCCAAAGTATGTCAGATGAGCTTCATAATTCTTGCCTCCAAGGAGCAGCCTGGCCTCACCCTCTCTAGAATGAACCTGTTTGTTCTCCTAGCAGTCCATGGTATATTCAACACTCTTCTCCAGCACCACAGCTCAAATGCATCAACTCTCCTTCTATCATCCCTAGTCATAGCTGACCTTTTTCTTAAAAAGCCCTGGTGACTTCATATGTTGTGTTCTGGGCTACTAATTGAAGGTCTATCAACTGTTCTGCAGAAGAAAGATAGACAGTCTCCTCCCACAAAAATTCACAGTCTAAGAAACCTGATAGAGGATCATTACTAGTCAAAATCTACTCAGTGACAGTGGGAACATTTTTCTGCTAAGGATGGCTCATTTTCTAGTAGAATCTGGTAGTTATTATGAATTGAGTTGTGACCCCTAATTGGATGCATTACTCTTAACCCCAATACTTGTGAATGTGACCTTATTTGGGAATTACTGGGGTTTTGAGGATATCATTTAATATAATGTCAAAGAGGAATAGAGTAGGTCTTAATCCAACTGAGTTATATCCTTTTAAAAGGGAATAAAGACAGACACAAAAAAACATGTGACAGTGTTGCCTGTGGAGTAATGCCTACTGGAAACTGGGAAGAACTTGAGAGGATCTTCCCCACAGAATGGGTCCTACCCAGTACCTGGAATTCAACAACTAATCTTCAGAGCTTTGAGAGAATAACTCCTGTCATTTATTACCATGAAATTTTATAATAGCAGATCCAAGAAACTAATACAGCAGGGTTCATTTCAGATGATCTCCAATTGATATTTTAATTTTTAGTTTCTTGTAGAGTTCTCAGAAAATAAAGCTTCTTATCTATATTGAAGGAAGTGCAAGTACTCTCTAAGTTTCCACTCTGATGCCACAGGCTGCTCCTGTAACCCTCCAGCTCATAGCTGTGTGTCCAGCTTGGGTCAGACACCAGCTCACCAAATTCACCTAGAGTAAGGCCGGAAGTGAGAGA